TCTATGATACCCCTAGGATGCACAACGGAACGATCAGCTAGCTGGATACTCATCCTAGTAGGGCTAAGTTCACCTAGGTCTAACTTTTTGAACAATTTATATGGCATGACGTTTATGCTAGCGCCTAGGTCCGCCAAGGACTTGCCTACATGCATGCTGCCAATAGTAAGAGGGATAGTGAAACTCCCTGGGTCCTTGCGCTTTTCGGGCAGCTTGTTCTGCAGAATAGCAGAACACTCCTCGCTCAGCAGCACTGTCGAGAGATCCCCAAGTTTCTTCTTGTTGGTGAGGAGGTCTTTCATGAACTTTGCGTACTTGGGCATCTTTGACAGTGCCTCCACAAACGGTATGCTGATGTTGAGCTGCTTCAACATTGCCATAAACTTGGCAAACTTAGTCTCCAGCTTGTCTTTGTGTAGGCGAGTGGGGAAGGGAAGCTGAGGTACGTGCTCTTTAACCATTGGTTGTGGCTTGGGAGCAGGGGCTTCCTTCTCCACCCGCACTCCTGTATCATCGGCTGGAAGTGCTGAAGCAGGTAGCGGTTCCTCCTGCCTGGTCGGGGCAGGATCAACCGATGTGGGCCTGCCACTCCTGGTGAAGATGGCATCCAGCTGCTCGTGCGGCTCTCGAGGGTTGGGGATGGTGGTGGCAGGCAGAGTCCCCGTTGCCCGGGCAGTAAGTTGGCGCGCTATGGCACCGACTTGGTTCTGTAAATCTTGCAGAATAGCACCCTGGTTCCTCTGTCCTGCCTCCAGAGAGGCTATGCTCTGGTCCACCCTCGTGAAATTTGCCTGGCTGGTGGTCATGAATGCCGCCAAAAAATTCTTCAGATCGGTCATCTGGTTATCGGGAGCTGGGGCTGCTGCTGGCTCGGCATACTGACGCTGAGGCTGCTGTTGAGGGACTGGCCCCTGTCTAGCCTGGAAAGGCTGCCTCTGCTGAAAACCACCGGCTGGTGCGAGGAAACCAGGTGGTTTAGTGGTGTTGCTATTCCACGCGAAGTTGGGATGTTGGCGCCACCCCTCATTGTATGTGTTACTGTATGGATCGAGGCGCCGAGCATTGGCGATGAAGGCCAACTGTTCTTGGGGAGTAGAGGACTCCCGCATAGCCTGGCAGTCCTCCACCCGCTGGTTCGGGCTCTCACACCACTGACATTGAGCTACTGGAGGCGTAGCCAAACCTCGGCCCGGAATAAGACTGTTGGGCTGCTTCAATGTCTGCACCAACTCAGCCACCTGCTGCTCTAACCCGGACCTGGCCTCCATAGCGTGCACACCACGGTCCCGTGAATTTCTGCCTTTGCTGTTCTGCCCCCAGGAATGATCGCGGGCAGCCAAGGTACTAATCATCTGGTTCAGCTCGGGTGGAGTCTTAGTGAGAACATCCCCTCCTGGGCATAGAGACTCAATCACCCTCTGGCTGTCTGGAGTGAGGGCGTTGTAGAAGTTCCCCACTGTGAATGCATCGCTGAAGCCATGATGGGGACACTGCCAGAGGTATCCCATGTACCGCTTCCATGCATCACGAAGCGACTCATCTGGCTCTTGGCGGAAGTGAGTGATCTCCCGCTGAATCTCTATGGTCTTCGATGCCGGATAGTACCTGTGCACGAAATTGTCTGCCAGATCGTCCCAAGAAGTGATGGACAATGGGGGTTGGGTCTCCAACCACCTCTTAGCATTCCCCGCCAGAGAATGGGGGAAGAGGTGAAGGCGAATTGCGTCATCTGGGACACCGTTCAGCTTGAACCCGTTCGTCAGCTGCAGAAAACGGGAAAGATGTACCCGGGCTTCCTCATCCTTCAAGCCATGGAACTGGATAGAGGATGTAATGAGTTGAATCCAGCATGGCTTGATCTCGAAGTTGTTTGCAGGAATGGGCAGATAAAGGATGACCGGGCGGATGTCAGCAATCCGTGGAGTATATTAGTACTCCAAGGTGGGACCCGGTGGTGGTGGATGATGATGAACCCCAGCTCCCTGGGGATTGGGGTCGTTCCCCAGGATCTGGTTCACTGGAGGTGGGTTGTGATCGCCCTCCATCTCGTACTCGTACTCGTCCTCGGACTCGCTGCTCAATTGGCCTTCTCTGCGCTCCACCGTAGCCAGTCTAGCTCACTGTTGTCTCCGAAGTTGGTTGCAGGTGCGTTCAATCTCTAGATCCAACGGCAGTAAACCTCCCGACTGGCTACGGGTCATGCACTATCTGCACACAATCAAGCAATGCAAACCGGTGAAGGCACAAGTGGGAAAGAACAAACACTCAATGCGAAAATGAAAATGCTAAAGTAACAGAAATCACTTTTCTTCAACAACCTAGCCGTTCCCGGAAACGGCGCCAAAAACTTGACTAACTCCTACTGTCACTCTAGAAAATGGCCAAGTGTAACCACTTCCTAAAGCGTAGTATAGCGGGTTTGGGTTTTATTGTCAACCCGGGTCATAGATGTGATGACTACTCGGTGAATTCTCATTATCTAGCAGTGAACTTTTAGTGCAGATTCAAACAAACAAAAACGCAAAGCAAGTTAAACGGTTGTTCAAGTCAAGAGAGGTCACCCGGATATGGTTCCCCCTAGACTGCAGTTAAGCCGAATTGTAATTTACCAAGTTCAGTTTTCATGAAAGTTATACTGCGGAAGGTTCTTAAATAGTCCAAATTCTCGACTAAAGGTCTTCAGACCCTCTCAATCTGAGTCTCTAGCGGGCGACTAACCTCCACCGGAGTAAACAGATTGAGGCCCTAACGAACCAAACCTCCACTACCGAATTGAATTCGGTACAGAATAGCGAATTGGCTCCTCAACTAAAGTCACCAATTCGCTACCTTCAATTAAGGGTACTCTATCAACCTAGGCAGATATTCTCATTCTAGGTCAAAGCAAAAACAACAGGAATTTGATCAGGATTCAAGTCATTCAATCATTCAAACCTCAATCGAATATAATCAATTCACAAACTCTGTACTTGGGTTCATACAATCAGACCTAGCATACAAATCTAGGGTTCCCCATACCCAGATGAATGGGGGAACTACTCCATAGAGAAATCATACTGTGAAGACGGATTTCTGCTCCTGGACGTTTAATCGGCACTTCTCCAAGCTCAAGCCGGGCTCCAATGGTGATGAAGATCAAGCTATGGCACTTGGGAACTCTGGTTCGTCGCTTTCTCTCTCTAGGAATCGCTTTCTCTCTCAAAAACTCGGAACCCTTGAATTTTTGCCTTCCTTTCCCTTAAATCTGCTGCCTGGTCGCGATACCCGGTCGGGTATTTTGGGTCTCGACCGGGTATATTCAAAACGCGCGTTTCATGCCAGGGGAAAATCCCCGGTCTCTTCCAATAATCCCCGACCGGGGATTTTTGCCTTTTGCCCGGGCCCCCTTCTGTTTCTCATGGGCGCCCAAAATGATAAATACCCGGTCGCGTATTTGGCCACCTGACCGGGTATTTTCCTCCTGCAGCCCACTTCGTCCCAACTTTGCTCCTTTCGACCCAGAACTCGTTTCTCCGCCTCGATTCCAACGTCGGGTCCTGAAATATGACATAAACACACAACCTAGCGTGAAATCGGCTTAAAACACGAGAATCAACATCTCAAACGGCTTCAGAATAGGGTTGAAAACATGTGTAATTATCGGTCTATCACCAATCTACACGCTATGAAGTTAAAGGTCTAATAACAGAAGAAAAACCAAACTCTGTTGGAATACAGATAAAATCAAGCCAGCAGTTAGAACTCAAATTACCAGACAAAGGAGTTAAGCTGCTACGAATGAACCACCAAAGCTTTGATAACAACAAAGCTTTCAGACCCTGTTCGCACAACCCTTCTAGGTAAGAAGGTCCATCCTGAACCTTGAATCCCAACCACGAATAACTCATCTTAAACATACATGAATTCGAAAATAGATTTCTTACTGATTTCGGCGGTGAAGACGGACAATGTAGAATTCGATTACCTAACTAAGCTCAACCCTACATGGAGCCGAACCTTTAATTCTACCTGATTTCGGGGGTCAAGACAAAGAACGGGGAGTCCGGTGAATGAATCGACACCATGGGGTGACAGCTCGCGCTCGGATGGTGTCTAATTTCGACGGCGAAGAAGCTGGACGAAGAGAGCGCGCTTAGTGATTTCGCTGGTGAAGACACAGAACGGGGAGAGCGCTGCTCCGAATGACCACACAAAATAAGGCGAACGGATTCCGTCGGTGAAGACACTGGCCAGAGACAGCGCGCTGACTGTATTCGACGGTGAAATCAATAAAGGGACCGAGCTCTGATCGTACCGACGGAACAAAAAAACCACCAGGCCCGTTCAACGCAATATGAACCGGGGTATTTTTTCCCTGTCCGAAACTACCCCTCCGAGAAACGCTCCGGAGGCAGCAAATTCAAAATGGGGGTTCAGTTTTAGGCTTCAGCGTATTATAAGTAGAGCAGATCTCTCACATAATCTCTCACGGATAGGAATAAAAACTACCACGAAAAAAAAGGAACGATTGAACTTTGAAGGAATGAATTTAAAAATAAATAAATAAATCCCACAAACCCAAAATTGCGGGAAAGCATTGTGGAGCGGAATTCTAATGGGAGGAGGAGAGTTAAATGCTGACGTGGAAGCATGTATGGCATTAAATTTTGAATCCCAACACGGTAGTTTGGAAAAACGCTTAAAGGTATTTGTAGATTGTATTTACTAATAGACTCATCATTTCATGCATCTCCATCCATTCATCCAATATCGTGACACTAATATGCCACATTACTTTAAATTTTGATTTATTAATGTATTCTTCACCCTTATAAAAAAATACACATATTCAGCCAAAGAGAACCCGCCTACCCTTTATTCCTACAAAATAAAACATCAGACCAAAACAACATTGATTTTGAGTGGGTTTATCGAGATCGAAAGCTAATTGTGCAAAATCTTCTAATTCGGCGAATTGTGCCAATTCCAACTTTAATTTACCATAGACCTGTTTCATATCTTTAATTTGAGCCACAGATCCTAGTAGAAACTGCGGCAGTTAAGAAGTTGCATCCTTCCAAATAGGAACTGGCTAATCCATGAGTATACCACGAGGTTACAAAGGTTGTTCCTGTGAACCAGCCCCCTACGGCGAAATAGGCACAAGGAAAGAGCAATAGACCGGACCAACCTACAAAAACGAAACGGTCCCTCCGTAACCAGTCATCCATAATATCAAATAAATCATTTTCGTCTTTGGTAAATTTACCAAGGGCTATAGTCATAGTGATCCTCCTACTCGAACGGTTGATTCTTTTCTTTTTTTCCTATATTCATATTAATTATGAATAACAAAAGAATGAAAAGTTAATAGCAAAGATTCTTAGAATTTAGGAAATTCCTAATTCTCCGCATATACAATTGTGTTGGCACGTCACTCGGCTCCTCGGCTCACTAACCCACCAAACCAAAAAACTAAAACCAAATAAGTCATAGTATCCTAAAAGAACCAGATTCCATAAACAATATAGAGAAAGAATGAAAGGAATGTCTTATCGAGGCAATCGTATTTGTTTCAGTAGATATGCTCTCCAAGCACTTGAACAATTCAAGAGTCGGGTTAGGGTTCCCAAATCCATAACTTCAATAGATATACAAAGTCTGAATCATTAAATACCATTGTAAAATTAAATAAACGTCGTCGAATTCAAAAGGCATAACTATTAGGAACGGAACAACAACAAGAACGAGGTTATCGAATCTGGAGCTCAGTCGCGGACTAGGTCGCTCTCTTTAAGACGTTCGCGGCACTGCTCTTGATGCGCACGACAGACTATCAACCGGTAGTCTCTAGGATAAAACAGCTCCTCGAATGCTCGACGGTTTTGTGCGAAAACCAGAGCTCTTTGAACACTCACTCTATTGTGTTTATGCTCGTTGTAGTGTGTTTAGAGGGGCTGGGGAGGCGACTATTTATAGAAGCCGAACCCCTAGGAATATACCCTCTAGCTTGGGGAATAAGTCAGATTAATTAAGGAAGATAATTACTTCCTTAATTAAAAACCGTCGGTTAAGATAAATCCTGTGGGATTATCCTTCGAATATTCCTTTTTAATCGATTATCCTTAGAATATTCCTCAGAATAACCGATTAATAATTAATTATTAGATAATTAATTTCGTTCGGAATTTCTCCAAAAATATATATAGTCTCAAGTGAACCAACCAACCAACCGACCGACCGGTCGGACGGACGGCGCGCACGCATGTGTGGTGGTCCGTTAGGTCCTCCCTCTCCCACAAAAGTGGGTCACCCGAAGGGGCATGCCCTTAGGAGAGAGGCTCTTATCTTTATACACATTTCACCAAGTAAAACTACCAATGTGGTAGTTTTTTCACCTAAGACTCTATAGCTTTCAAAGCTATTCATACATTTCCAACAATCTCCCACTTGAATAGTTTTGAAACTATCTCTGAGCATTAACAATTCCATAAGATCGGGCATAAGCTAAGGTATCACGAAGATTTGAACCTTAGCGTAGTGGTTGCACTTCCGATTTCATAAGGGTGACTCATAGTCTTGAACCCTATCTCAGACAGTGTAGCACTCCGGATCTTTTCATTGAGTCGTGTTCTCTTCTTAGCCCTTGCGTTTATGGCCATGCACGTTATCCTGGTTTAGTGAACGCTCTAGCAACTTTGTGCCTCCAAAGTTCCATAGGGAGCGGCCCCACTCCCACATTCACATAGGTGAGTCTATTGGGAGTACCTCCAAAGTAAAGTACTCCACCCCACATAGGGTATAGATCTCATTAAGAGTTATTAACTCAACCTCCATTGCTTTGGGATTCATGCTTCACTATGCATGAACTTTTCGCATACTACTCATGACTTGTTATTACCCATTGATCCCATTTCTTGGGATCTCCAGTCTATTGGGTCGGGTTACCATCACTTGTAGTCTGTGGTTTGGTAGGCATAAGTCCCATACCCTTGGCGGTATTATGGACTTTCTCTCTAGGTAATCCTTTTGTCAAAGGATCAGCTAGATTCTGTTTGGATCTTATATGATCCACCCTCACTGCTCCTATCGTTAGGAGTTCTCTTACAGTACTGTGCTTACGACGAATCTGTCGTTTCTTTCCGTTATAGAACTGGTTCTCAACTTTAGCGATGGCTGCGGTACTATCACAATGGATCAATATCGGAGGAACCATCCTTTCCCATAGGGGAATCTCTGACAACAATCCTCTCAACCAACTTGCTTCTTCACTAGTCGTTGCTAGTGCTATCATCTCTGATTCCATAGTTGATTGAGCTAGGATTGTTTGTTTCTTTGACTTCCAAGACACAGCTCCACCAGCGATGTTAAAAACATACCCGCTGGTTGCCTCGGATTCATCTGATAGGGTATTCTAATCCGCATCACTATACCCTTCTAGTACAGCAGGAAACCTTTGATAGTGTGTACTAAGGTTTGCTCTTCTCTTGAGGTATCTCATGACCCTATCTATAGCATTCCAATGCTCTCTACTAGGACAGCTGTTAAACCTGCCAAGCAATCCCACGACATATGCAATGTCTGGTCGAGTGTAATCCGCAACATAACGGATACTGCCAATGATGCTAGCATATTCTGATTGTCTTACACTGTCTCCAGTGTTCTTAAATAGCTTTACACTAGCATCATACGAAGTACACGCAGGTTTACAATCGAAATAGTTATATTTCTTAAAGATAGCTAGATTGATCTAGAGAATAACCATTTGCTGTTTTAGTTATCTGAATTCCAAGCATAAACTTTGCTTATCCCAGATCTTTCACCTCAAAGCTCTCTTTCAACATGGCTTTTGCTTTATTGACCACGTGAATATTTGTACCAAATATTAACATGTCATCTATGATAAGGAAGACCGAATCTTCAGCACCATCACCAACCACTTTGTTATTCTGTTTCCTAGTTTCCAGCTATCACATCTTTCTGTTCCTATTCTTCTGCCTTCTCCTACGCCTAAACATGGCTGTGTATCATTTGTATAAATCAGAACCTCAATCACTAATAGAAAACACAGATAATTAAAGACTCTTCATGGTATCAGAGCTTCCCTGCCTAACGGCGAATTAGTTTTTTTTCCCCTTCCCCATCTGCTTCAATCATCATCATGTCTACCTATGCTACCTCTTCATCTGAAACTACTGGTGCCCTCTCCAATTCTGATACCTCTCTTTCGCAATTCACTCTCCCCCTGCTCCTCATATCTCCGTCAAACTCACTGCCACCAATTATCTTCTCTGGCAAATGCAACTTCTTCCCCACCTCATCAGCTTTGATCTCTCCAAGTTTGTCGACGGCAACTTCCCGGCTCCCGCTCGTCTTCTCCCTGATGGTCTTTCCAACCCAGCCTACGATGCCTGGCATCGCCGCGATCAGCTTGTTTTCTCATGGATTGTGGGCTCCCTTACTGATGCTGTTCTTTCCCGATTGGTCGGCTGCTCCACCGCTCTCGAGGCTTGGACTCGACTGGCTTCTGCCTACGGCTCCGGCAATCGACAGACTCTTCGCGGCCTCCGCACCCAACTTGGCGAACTCTTTCGCGGCACCGACTCCTGTGCAAAATTTCTTACTCGTGCTCAGGAGGTAGCTGATCGGCTCGCTGCTCTCAACCATCCCGTCTCCGACGACGAACTCGTCGACTGGTGTCTTCGTGGCCTCGGTGAAGACTTCCTTCCATTCGTCCGTACCATTGAAGCCAAGCTGGAGCCCATCCCATTTGCTGATTTCCATGGACTCTTACGCAATGAAGAACATCGCCTCCGCCACCTCGGTCTTCTTCACAACGGCAGCAGCCCACAAGCACACTATGGGCGGTTTGGTAGTCGTGGCAGTGGCGGCCGTGGTCGTTCTCCTGGCCGGTTCCCAGGTCGCGGCAGAGGCGGCAGAGGCGGTCGTGGTGATCGCTCTCCTTCAATCTACGACCACTCTAATTTTTTTGCAGGTCCAGGTTTTGGGGCAGGGCTTCTTGGGCCCAAACCCAACACCCGCTCTTCTCCCAGCAGCACCAATCCGCTATGATGCTACACGTGCCAGGGTTTCGGTCACCTTGCCAAACACTGCCCCATCCCCCAATTACGCTTCATCCTCAACCCCCCAAGACTGGATCATGGACTCCGGTACCAACTATCACATCACTTCCGACCTCAACAACCTAGCACTCCATTCTGAATATAATGGCCCCGATGAGGTATCCTTCGGTAATGGTAATTCTCTACCCATCTCTCACTCTGGTTCTTCTCTAGTCTCTTTTCACCATCATCCCTTCCATCTCACTAATATTCTTCGTGTTCCTTCTGCTTCACATAATCTCCTTTCAATAAATTGCCTCACTCGCACTAATCCTCTTTCTATCAATTTTTTTGATGATTGTTTCACCATTAAGGACACACACTCTCAGAAAATCCTCCACCGCGGCCGAAGTAAAGATGGTCTCTACTCGATTCCCCTCTCCATCCTCTCCCACGTGGCTCCTCCTGCACATCACTCCACTCTCTCTCACTGGCATCAACGTCTAGGTCATCCTCACAACCGCGTCCTTCGTCAAATTCTCCATCACCACTCTCTTCCAGTTTCCAATAAACCGGTCGATCATCTATGTCATGGCTGTAGTGATGCAAAGATTCATAAGCTTCCATTTTTCCCTTCTACTTTTCAAGCTACCGGTCCTTTAGATTTAATTTGTAGTGATGTTGGGGACCATCCCCTGAACTGTCTGTCGACGGCCATCTATATTACATTTTGTTCTATGATCATTTTAGCAAATTCACCTGGATCTTTCCCACTCGTCATCGCCTAATCTCTTATCCATTTTCATCAATTTTCGCACCCAAGTTGAAAATTTTTTCGATCGCCCCATCAAAAATTTTCAAGCTGATTGGGGCGGTGAATATCAAAAATTGGGTGCCTATCTCAAAGAACATGGCATCATTCATCGCTCCTCGTGCCCTTACACTCCCGAACAAAATGGATGCGCCGAACGCAAACATCGCCACTTCATTGAAACCGGCTTGGCACTTCTTCATCATGCTTCCGTCCCTCTCAAATTCTGGTCTTACGCTTTTGACACTGTCGTCTATCTTATCAATCGCATGCCTACCCCACTCCTTCATCATAAAACTCCACTCGAAATTCTCTATTCCCAAACTCCTGACTACTCTTCTCTCCGAATTTTCGGCTC